GCACCGTTGAAAATTGCTAGTCATTGCGGTAGAGACTCAGTAGAGATGTTCTGTTCACGCAACGTTGCTGGCGTTGATTAGCTTAGCAACGCAAGCGACACGATAGCATCGACACCAAAATGCGGTGCCTGAGCTGCTTGGCCATTCCTCAAAGCAATCAGTTCATTTCAAATTTGGAACTTGCTCAGAGCCTGTTGAATAACTAACAGCGAAATTCTGTCATTCGGGGGATCGTTGCTTTTGCTACTGGAGCCGCCAATGCCAACCTCTATGGATGTCAGTTCCGGCGGTGACAGCTTTACTATTTCCGCGGGGAAGGCGTCCCTCAGCGACTGGCTCCACGTTATCTTCAGCTGCGCAGACCACACAGTTCTGGTGATCAACCCACCACCACTTTGGATGAAATTTTTGCATTCATATCTCGGATATCATCAATTTGCGGGCATTCTGTGGCATAACTCACTCCTGGAACGAACGGAATTCGAATGCGCTAAAATCTGAATAATGCGCCCATTTTTGTGAAGGGTGTCCAAAGCAGTTACTTTGAATGGTCTGCATTTAATTGTCTTTGAAATCACTTGTCTTACAACGGTATGGCCTGCAAATCTCTCGCAGCTGCAGGGCTGTCGATTGGGTTTTATCAAATCTTTAGAAAACAAGCACAGCCTTCGTTTAGTTTGGAAGATCTGGTGGGTATAAATGACTAATTTAACAAATTACCAGCCATACGCACAAAAAAACTGTATATTTTGCATGGTTTTCAGAAAGTCACAGCACTCTGGTTCGCCAACACACGAGTCGCCCTTTCCCTGATCTTCGGACACGATCCCATTGCAACTGTTGGCCGAAGCTCAAGCCAAACCAAAAGTCATCAGCCTTGCCGACGCTGGGCGGAAATGGCGTGGCGCAGGTGGGGTGGAATGGACAGGCGTTCCCTACCGCTGGGCCAAATAAAACTGGTGTTTCGGCCTCCACCAAGCATGATGACAATTTGGCGAAAGATGGTCTTTGGATTTACCATGTGCGACAGTACGTCCACTCAGACGTGTCCTGGCAAAGCATTCGATTTTCTGCAGAATTTTTCAATCATTGGCAAAAATCGCACCAAAGTCGCGGGTAGGACAACACCATTATTAACATCGATCGGTGTTAGCGATTGATCAATGGTGGACAATACCATAGTAGGACAACACCATTGTTGACATCTTTCGATGTTCATAATTCTTCAATAATTCATGGCGGTGAAACAGCCACGATGCGCGATGCAGGATTTACAGAAACTGAAGGCGAGAGAAACACCAAACCAAACCGAGCAAAAAGAACAATATTAACCATTGAATGCCGAGCTCCATTCGCAAATGCAAACGCAAAAACAGCAGCTTAACATGTACTCGAAAGTCGCAATGGGAATATGGAAATCGCTATTAATGTTGAGATTGTGGCCATTGAAATAGTAGATCATATACGAGCCACTACATCTTTTCTTTCATGCATATCTTTGTTCTATTGGTTGAACAATTTGCCATGGGTCACTGACAGGCATTTAATGCAGGCTTTATCAGAGCCGAAACAGTTTCTGTTCAGAATCCGTACTTGTTTGCATGAGTTAAGCACCCGTTCTCTGAGGGCTCCCCAGGTTGGCCACACGTTGGCATCTGCCCAGAAGAAAAATGTGTCAGAAGCTTACGGCGTCAAGGGCCATGAATAAAACAACTAGCGCCGCAAATGTGGCGATAGGCTCTGTTTTTTGGGAGAATGGACGGTACAAGGAAAAAAACTTAAACTCCAGGCTCCACAAATGTCCGATGATCATCGGACATTTCAGCGAAATGGAGGTCATGATCTCCATTTCCGGGCATGATGGTCGTGAAAGTCTACGACGTCCATGAAGTTCATTTTCGATCTGGCGCCCCTTTTGCGTTTAGGATTTTTAGAGCTCACGCACCCTTCATGAACTTCGTGCCCGGAAACTACGGGTGTCGAACAAACCTCCAGTTTCGCTGCAGCGAAAACAGCTGCAGTGCAGGGCAGGCACTGAAGTACGGAGCCAATAGGACGCCAAATCGAATACCTTTCACAATGCCATTGTACGTGCTGACGCACATAGCACTGGGATCTGGACTTTTCAAAATGAATTCATGACAGTTTTTTTCCATCATTTTGCTCAGTTACTGGTGAAAAGCGGTCCCGGAAACGGGGAGAAGATTGCATAGGTTAGTAATATTTCACACGGCACAAGTTGCCATTTACGACACTGAGAAATTTGGCACAGATGGAAACTGCAGGAAATTCTATTGTGTCGGCGGTGAACGCGGTCGCTTGCGTTTTGAATAAAGCAGTGTGTCGTGCGGGCTGCACACACGTGGGTAAGGGAAAAAAAACAGCAGGTATGAATTGCCACCAACAGGTCCAGATGGTAGGTGTGCCAAACCTGCGGACTTGATCGCGATGTACGAAATTCTGACAGGTGTCTGCGAAACGCGATGTGCATTGATGCTGGTGGACTTGTGATGGAGCTGGCATGGCAGTGGGTGCGCCTGTCGTCAGCTGGAGGGTTTGCCACGGACAGCCGGTGGGAGCGGTGATCGCACTTATGCCCGTTAATTATGTTTGCACTGTAAGCCTGGGTTGAATTTGTTCATGCCGACCCGCTATGTTGAGGCGCTGATTGAGCCAGGGATGTGCTCCAGAGGCATCCTGGAGGAGCACGCCAGAACATAATGCGTGTCCTTCTCAGTAAAAAATTTCCTTAACAGTAAAAAATTTCTCAACAGCCAAATGAACTTTCGGTGCAGATATCGTCGCAGGGCGAATATACACCGGTTCCTCCGCGAGATCTTTAGCAGCACTGGCCGCAACACTGCCCATTTGCCAATTCCTAAAATCCGACAACAAAAAGGAGCACACGCACCTGGCAGTGCGGAGGGTGGACGCTCCCACACACCGCTGTCCACCGCCTGAGAATGATTCCAAAACAAGCTCTCTGTCACTGATCGGAGTTTGACGGTCGCCGGCCGCTGCAGCCGCCACCGCAGCCTCCGCTGCCACGGCGACTCTTTCCCACCCCGCTCGATCAGCGCCAAAGCCCAACAACATCGGGATTCTCACACGGCAGGCGCAAGTCCAGGGTCAGCTCGGCATTCCTGCTGACCCTGCTCTGAAGAGTGCCCGCGTCCCAACTAAAGGCCGCTTCGGACCGCCACCACCGCCCTCCTCTGCATCGTTCAATGGTATCCGGGCATGCTGTGCCGTGCGTCGGCCGCGGCTTCGCTCACCCTTTCCCAGCTGGGATCGTGGTCGGGCTCCGCGCACTCATTCTTCTTTCCCCCTTTCTTCCCTTTGGGCATGTCTTCCGATGGCGCTCTCGCGTCCCGCCGGGACTAGACAGACCCCAGAACGTGTTACGGAAGGTGGCTTCGCATGGGAAGGCACCTATTCGGCGCCGGTGTTCAGCACCAGGGGTTGTGTCAACTACTGAGGACAGGATTTAAACCGGCGTGGGTGCGAGGCTATCGTCCAGAATGCTTTTGGCTACATTTGATCGCTTGCAGAAAATTGCGTCTGATGTCGAAGGCCCGCTGACTGGTGGCGTGGCCCAATGAAAGCTGACTTCAATTCCAGCTCGCCATACCTATCGCAAAAGCGCTCATTCTGGTCGACTCCATACAACATCCATCGTGAACCTGAAATTTGTTCCAATCAACATTTCATCATCATCATCATCAGGAATTCTTACATATCAAGGCGAGGAGGCAGCCATCAGCTCCTTATTTCGCCCGAGCAGAGCAGTGTCCATAACTTGCTTCATGACTACCACAAGGTACAAGGTATTGCCACAATCCAACCACTGAGTTGCTGAGCGTCAGAACGGGCGAACTCACGAATTCGGTATCATCCAACCGTCTCAACCCATTGTTTGAAATTTTCAAACATAGAAACTCCAAACTATCGACATTTCACTGCATCTTGGCCGCTTGCCAGGACGAGAAACAGATTGGCATTCCACAATATTGCGGCACGCATTGCAACCTTCCATGGCATTGGCGATGTGATATGCTGGACAACCACACAAGTTGCGCAGTGTCGCATCCTTGTCGCCCATCACATCCCCCGGAACACATGCGCAAGGAGCACCACGTCCGTATTCCACACGAGCAGGCGACAGCGCTGCGATGACGTCTGAAGTCGTTTGAGAGGCGTATGAAACGGAACTGGGCAGTCGTTCTGCGAAGGGACGCCAGACGCTTGCACGCGCTCCGGGAATCACAGTGCCCAAAGATGGGCAGTGTCATGCGGACAAGAACGTTGCGATCCGTGACTCGCACAAGCACACAGGCGCTCAGAAACAGGGGAGGCCGTCTTATGGCAACTTCTTTGCTACAAGTCTCGGTCCCCGTCTGGGGAAGGCATCAGGTGCGTAACACAGGCGACCCCCACCCTGAGGAGCAACTTGTTAGACGCTAGCCTGGCGCCGTCCATCTCTTGTGCCCAAACAGGCTCTCCTCACCCCACTTGTGAAGTGCACCAGCAACAGTGCACCTGGTCCAATAGAACATCACCAGGGGCCATTGTTACCCTGACTGCGATAGTCTATCCCATTGTTGTGGGGCTCGAACGACAGCTGATCACCGCCACACACCGAGCGTTGGGCTCACATCCCTGCACTGTGCAAAGTCCCCCAACGCCTCTACGAAACGCACCCCCTTGTGTCCAACAGGGGCAAACCCTCCAGATCTTGGGGGCCGATTGCAAGCTCAAAATCGTTACAGACCTGACCTAAGAATAACTGTACCGTTGTGCTCATGTTGCACGTGCAACCATAAAAAAATGTATTTCACTCGTTCTCCACACAGTGCCTGTGTGCGTAGTCGTTTCTGACAAAAGACACTGAATGCGCGCAGCCCTTCTTGTCCCTTTCCTTCCCCTTCTTATCCATTTTTTCTTCCTCTTTTCTCTCCGTTGTACATTATCCATGGCCCCAAACCCACCCCACGTCCTTCTCACTCCTCCCCTCCTGGGGAAGGCGGCAGCAGCACGCGCGGCTGCCGAGTGGAAATAAATTCTGTTGCCTCAAGGTGGGGTGGCGCATAGTCAGGAATGTTGTACTGCCGCATGCCAGACTCGTGTATGTACACCGGCTCCCGGCTCTCCTCATCCATCTCTTCTCTCCAGCCATCAGGAAGGGGCACCCACACACACGACCTCAGCGCATCTGTCAAGCCCTGTTTCAACACCAGAACCAACCTCCTCAACAGCAGTCATGAACCCTGTCAGAGGGCAGCGGAACATGTCCCTACAAGGGCAGCCAGCGGAAGCTCGTATTTGGATGAGCACGAACTTATGGCACAGGCTTTCCATCTATTGGAAGCAGTGCCAGGAATTCTTATGTCCACAGGGAGCGACCAACATGTGTTGAATCCGATGCATTCAATAGTGGTTGGCTTGTGCACTGTTACTATGCGCCACCACAAGCTCATGCATCCTTATGGATGTCTATTGCCAACCATTCCTCGGTGCCGTGCCCTCCAACGTCCTGTAGGGCCAGACGATACCAGGTGTGCACAGGCCATGCCATTTTGAGCACAGGTGGCCAGGGTATACCAACGCAGCTTCCCTTGCTTGTGTCAGTCATAGGGGGTTAACAATGCAGACGCCACCATGCTACATAGCACTTGCATGGCCCACAGAATTTCTTACCAGAATTTTGAGGAACAGCCATTTCCTCCCCTCCCCCCAACCACCCCCACCCCCCCAACCACCACACACACACACACACACACAAGTAAAAAGAAACCACAAAAAACATAACCCATTCAACATAATCCCCAGTCATGGAAAGTTGAGTTGAACATACTCTTCTGCTAAGATTCTTGCCAATGAAGACGATCCTGCTGATCCGCTCCTCCCCTTCACACCAGCCATCTGGTGAAGGGCCAAAGACGATGTTGTCGTGCACCCCTTGGAACACAAACTTCTTGTCTTCATAACCCTGTTAACATGCAAGTCGCATCAGCACCACCACAGATTGGACCACTGCGGACCTTGCATCCCATACATAATGGGGCCCCCTCAGGTAAACGCAACAGCAACCAAGAAGAGCGCACACATTGCACAGGCACCCTGATCATTACTGAGCACTGAGCAACTGAGCAACTGCAGAACACACATGTGTCCCTCCATCTTTCAAGCAATCAACACAAAAAACAACAAGCACATACATGCCCTGGTGCCTTCCACTTCCTTGCAGGCAGGAACAACAATGCCTCACAGGATGCCGTCTTCACCGACAGTATCAGTCAGGCGTCACAAATTGCTGACTTTTGCTCGATCAGGAATCATCTGGCAATGATGGGCAATCGATCTGACATTATTGGGCTCCATGCCATACCTTGATGCACAGCACACCCTTGCTTCGGATGATGTCCCTGGCCTTTTCTGCAAAGAAATCCTTCATGAACATGTTGAAACGCCATTCGTGCAGGGGCCCTCGGGCCGTTATGCCAACAGAGCCGATGCCAAGTGTGTCGTGCATCAATTTTTTCCGTCTCTTGGGCTCTCTCTCCAGCACCTTCTTTCTTGACTGCACAGCACACATTCCGTTGGCAAAAGTCAACAGATGTGAGGGACAAAAAATTATCCAAAATACCATGAACATATGCCTGCAGCACCAAACATTGCCCAAGAGGTAACTGGGCAGGGCATGACCTGTTGCATGTGCAAATGTGCCGGGACTGTGCTACCCTGTCCTTGATAGGACACAGCTGAACAGTTGGTGCTTCATACTCAACTCTGCGGGGCTGTACTTGTGCCACAGACAACAAAACGTCGTTGGACAAGACATCTTGTCTAAGCAATCACAATGTTGGTGAATCAAGCAAAGCTGCATGGCCCTGAATGGCACTGCTTGCATTTGCACGGAAGATCAACGCCCATTGACTCTGTCTGATGATGCATGAACAATCAGCGCCAATGTGGCAGAGACAAGACATAGCGTACCAAGGCGTACAAACAGGCTATTCAAAGGACAGAACACAGGAAAGCATAGCTGCTACGCAGCCTCACACAGGCTGATCGGTGCGCCGAGCCAATGCAAGGGACATGGGTCAAGGTTGGTGTCAAGGCTGGGTGGAAGAAGAAGGGCAGAAAGGGTTGTATGGGCTGGGTGGAGTCAAAGGGCAAGAGAGGACAGAGGGTTCACAATAAACTTGTCCACACTGTGCTATCTTGTTGTTCAATGCCCAAACAAGACACCAGGAGGCATCGAAGGACAACTGCTATGTTCAACACAATGCAACACTGCCACACCGCCCCTCCCGTCACCTTTCGCTCTTTCGGTTGCGCTCTCTTGGCCCCGGTTATGGGCTCATTGCCCTCCCCGCCGTCGCTCAACGACAGCTCCCCATCGCTCTCCGATCCCGATTCCAAGAACGACGAGTCGATCTGCGCCAAGAACGAAGCCCATCAACCTTCCAGCCCGCGTCGCGGCGGCCGCCCAGCACCGACCTGACCCGGGCATGGCCGTCGGGGAGAAGCTGCAGCGCGCGCCCCTTGCGCTCATCCCTGCAATTGCTTTTTTGGGGGGTGGGGTGGGGACATTCGAAAGCAACGTCTGGTCGCTGATCCGCAACGAAGGCCAGCCGTCCGCGCCCAAGGCCGCGCAGGACAATCGGACTCACCATTGCACGCAAGACTTTTGACTTCGGTTCAGACAGTGACATACGGTTTCGCCCCCGTTGGGCAAGCAGGGCTGCGTTTTGGGGCGACGGCATTCCGCACGCGGTACCCACCTCCAGCGCCTTCTGCAGTGAGAACGAGTCCACGGAGAGGATGGTGTCTGCGTCGGGCCGGCCCTCGGGCGTGTTGAGCTGGCACTCCAGGAAGGACGCCGTGGGGTTGATCTCCAACGTGATGCGGCGCACGGTCTCCAGCTCCTCCTTGCCATGCAGCAGGTCCCTCTTGTTGAGCAGCACCAGGTCGGCCAGGGCCACCTGGGACACCGCCTCGTTGACGGCCTCCGTGGTCTCCTCAGGCGGGAAGCGGTTGGTGAACATGTTCAGGTGCTGCAGGGACAGCCGCACATGCGGACAGGTCAGGGGTGAGGGGGAGAACGGCGCGAATTTGGCCAAGGTGTGGGAGGAGCGCGACGTCCAGTCTACGGAGGGGCCCAGGGCGCTCGTAAGAGCCACGGGCCGACGCAACAGCAGGATGGCAGCGGCAAACTCGCTCGGATATAGCCCGGGACATCCCAGGACATCACGCGCTGATGGATGCGATGCCAGTACGCAGAAGAGGGCAGGGGAGGGGCTGGGCGGCGTCGGACTGGAGCCCTTGGGCGCCCCAGGGACGGGCGGGCCCAGGAAGCAGCCCAGCGCGCTGAAGACAAGCCCAAGAGAAGCAACCTACTTCCGTCCCACCCACAACAGCGCACATCGCATCGGGAGCCTCTCTCACCTTGATTGCGAAGGCGCAGTCCATCACACACCTGCGCGGAAGGCACAGAGTCGGGCGTCAGCAGTGGGTTCGGCAGCGCCTGGCGCGGGGGACATCGGGGGCGGGGGCACTGGGCCGCGGCGCACCGTGCGCCCCACTCACACAATGGCGTCCAGCTTGAAGCGCGCTGCTATCCACGGGTTGGCGAAGAACGTGAACGCGATCGGCCGTGGGTCCGCCAGTCCGGTCGTCTCCATGAAGATGGTGTCGAAGCGCCTGCCACGCTCGATGGCGCGCCTGTCCAGCTCGGCCAGCACGCGCACGATGTCCTTGCGCAGGGAGCAGCACGCGCAGCCGTTGTCCAGGGAAACGACGTCCTCCTTGGCCAGCAGGTTCGCGGCCACTGTGGGCAGAACGGCCCAAAACGGGTCAGTTCCCCCCAAGCGCCACGCCCCCAAACTGGCCGAGAGCATGGCCACGCCACAATGACCAAAACCGGAATCAGCAGGTCCAGGCAATCCCGGTCTCGAAGCGAGTCGCGCGCCCGCCCACCCAGGCTGTTGTCGACGTTGATCTCCCCGAACTCGTTCTCCACCACGGCGAAAAGCTTGTTCCCCTTGTTGTGCAGGATGTGGTTTAGCAGCGTGGTCTTGCCCGCGCCCAGGTAGCCCGTGATGATCGTCACCCGCGTCTTGATGGTGGCCGCGGGGATGTACGGCACCTGCGCGGGCGCCCCGCGAGGGGGTTCCTCGCCCGCGTCCGCGGCCAGCGTCATGGCGCAGCCAGGCGGGTCGCGCACCACCTGCGCGGGGGGCTCCAAACCCTGGCCGGGCTCCTTGGCAGTCGGGGCCACCAGAGCGGCTCTCATGACAGGAGGTGCGATCCGGGCCCCGGGGCGCGTATGACGCCTCGCCCGCCGAAACTCTACCACAACCCCCACAACCTCCAACAACGCCGTCGCGTCTTGGGGATTGCCGCAGCAAATTGTCGCCGCCTTGGGCGCCTAATGCCCAGCGGGCGGGTGGAGTACCTCCTGTATTGGGCGTCCGGGGACGGTGGTGGACGCCAGAGGGCACCGCCGGTGTCGCCATGGCGGACGTGACCGCCATCGCCGTGGCACCGAGCCCAAGCGGCCTAAAAAGGGTTGCGCGGCGTCCGCCAGGTGTTGCATGCCCCGGCCACGCGATGCATGACCGGGGCGTCAAAGCGCCACAAAAGAGCGCCTTTGAAAACCTACCACCGCCAATCCGCTCGTAGGGGCAACTCAGGGGGCGATCCGAGGTAGGGGGGGAAGGTTCAGCAGCAGGGCTCCGAGGTGTGAGGTGGGGTTCTGTGATTGGAGGACTGTTCGTGTCTGGTGCACGCGATGCTGACAATGCTGACAATACAATGAATGAAGCGTCGACAAATGCAGAGTGGTGCGAGGAGGCCGTTGAAGCCATGACGGAACAGAGCAGTCTGGGCGTTTTACGGAGTTGTGGGAACAGTGACGAACAGTTTGTCGGGTGAAAGGCGATGGTGAGTAAGGAAGGCCGCAGGGCTGGGTGCGGGGTACATTTGGGTACGTTTTTGGAACCCGTTTTCCAAATAACATCTTCGGGTGGTTGTTTCATGGGCCAGGGTACCATGTGCACCAATTGGCTTTTATCAACAGGCGGGGAGGGGGGAATGTGCGCCATTTAAAGGCGGAAGTTGTAATACAACTTTCTGAAGTGTACGCCCCTGGTACGTCCATGCGCTTGTTTGTGGCCCAAGAAAGTCTCCAAACTCGGTCAGCGGAGGTTCACCAAAGATGGGCGACATACTTGGGGTGATCCACAACGACTGTGGCCTTGCAACTGCGCGCTCGCCGGCTCTCAGCTTGGCGGGGAGAGATGCGGTGGGTAAGGTTGCCAGCTGGCATAGGTTGTTGTGCACAGCTCGCGGTGCCACAGCACATTCACTGACATACCGGGATGGCTGTCCATTGGCTATCTGGGATGCACCGTTACAATGTGGAAGTGGTGTGGATGGCAAGAAAATCCTCGTGAAGTGCGCTTCAGGCGTCTATTGCTTTCTGCCCACGTGGCTGGCCAGGACAGCCCACAGCCGGAGGCGGAGGTTGTGGATAATGAGTTTCCTGAAGAAAGGCGAGACGACAGCCTAGCCAAGCCAGTTCACTATTGAATATTACTTCAAACACCGTTCCTTTCTTTGCGGTGCCACATCTAGAGTAAAACATTCTCCTGAGCTGCGCACGAGATCTTTGTTTTTTCACAGTGAAATTCCCGTGGCCTTAAGGCAAGCTTGTTGTTTTCGAGCCGTTGCAAGTTCCCTAAATCAAGGAATTAATTGTTCATTAGTTGACTGGCCCAGCACATTGTCGCAAATCACTTAAGGATGGTACTAGAGCGTGCTCAGCTGTTTGCTCGTCGTACCAGCGGAAAGTGCAAGCGCTGTCGCCCATCCCAAACAACACACGCGACATAGCGAGCGACGCACAAAACTTATGACGGCGCGGGTTCACCCTCGCCGCCATATGTTCCTGCGCTCAGGCGGGTGACACCCAGTCCCGACAAAGCCGACTGAAGCCAATCCACTTTAAATTCGTTTTCTGAGAACACGATTCGAAGGCTGTGTTGCGCCCATCCGAATGGGCGAATTCAGTCATTCCTGCCACCGCCCAGGCCGCGACTCAGTCGCCACTATCGTTCCCAAACAGCTCAATGCCACGCTGCATATCGTATCCGCATCAGAAGCAGGAGCGGGAATTCCCTCGCAGCGCCGCCTCTGCCCGTCATTCAAATTGTTGAGCGCGGCGGACGGGACGGCGCAGCCATTACGCAACGACGTGGGGCAAGGGCACAGCACGCCACGCCGTCGACGGCATCTCACCTGGCCCACCTATCTCATGGCGTGAATGCGAGACATGCTGGAGGTCACCAGCGCCCTTGGGCGCTTTTGGGCCTGGCGGATGGGATCCTCAACAAACGAGGCCTTCCTGGCCCGGCACTTTCCGCGGCTCAGCTGGCTCTCGAAGTACGGCGCGTTGGTGGCCGCGTGGGCCTCTCCCGGTGGCAGCAGTACCGGAACGGCTCCCGTCAACGAGGCGGAGCGCCGCGAGGCGTTGGTCCTGAGGGCGGAAGACGTGTTGACGGACCCTGACGGACACCACGTGCGGAGTGCAGGTGAATGTTCTATTTCCATGTTTAATTGCTCAGCTGAATGTTCTGCTTACTTACTTCTACTATTCAGCCGAGTATTCCATTTCCATGGAATGCAGCTGAATGCTCCACTTCCATGGAGTGCAGCTTAATGCTATACTTGCTGAGGTACATGCACATATTTATAAAGCGCTTTAAGCTTGACACTGCCGCGACGCTGTTGGGATTTACATGTGCGAGCTGAATTTTGGCGAGGCGCAATGGCGCAACCTTACCTGCGTGCGATGATTGCACGACGCATTCTTGACTGCTCGTCTTCGGCATCCCAGTCGGATAATGTCCCTTGCCTGTACAGGCATCCCATCTGAGGACAAACGTGCTGAGCCGAAATACACCAACGGGCAGCAGGTCCATAGGTGCGGCGCAGGCTGCAAATAGACTTACAATAGATAGGACTTGAGTGAATATTCAGCAGGTGTTGATGCCAATACATGGCTCCGTTTCTTCCAATCTCTACTCATCTAAATAAAAGGCTGCCATTACTCCGAGAAGTCGCTCTTTTCCTGTACACCTCTACTGGCTCGATGGTGGATCCCAGGCTTGTTATTTACGCCGCAAACGCAGATTTTACTTACGCTTTTATGCGCAAAAATAGCTTTGGCGTTCTTACGCGTAGAACAGTTTTACGTTTTTATTCCTAAAACAATTTTACTTTTTTAAGCGTAAAACATTTTTACCTTTTTACGCGCAAAAACGCATAAAATTACCAAAACACATCGTAAATACAGCTCTTTGTACACAAGGACAGTACATACAGGCGTCGGGAGTCCTGTGAGTGGTCTCCAGGCGCGCTGGAATGTGCAGAAAATAAACTTTTGCTAGACGCCGTCCGCCGCGCCCCCTTCCCAATCGCGAAGCCAACGCTGTGTTGCGGGTGCTCGAGCAGGCGGAGGACTGATCATTGTACGTGACTTTTATCGTGCAACCTGGGTGTCACGACATGTCGGAAAAATGCAACTACACCCTCAAGATATAGTCGTTTTTGCATATTTGCATTTTACACCTAAAAGCGTAAAACTAAACGTGAATAACATGCCTGCTGGATTCTATGGCAAAGTCAGTCCTGGGTTGCTGATCGACTGCGTATGCAGCGGTTTGTCTTAACTAAATATTGAGCTGGCAGATCTGTTCCCCCTGTCGACAGACAAGCAATCGCATTCGCAGGGATCTACAGCCCTGCGCAGAGTGTGGCGTTTGCAAGGGTGTGCGCCTACCAGTCTCCCGGGCCTCAGCGACAGACAGCGACTCCATTTGATCTCTCAGGTCCCTTTGCCTCAACACCGCATACACATCGCTTTTGGCGGTGGGTTTCAGCAGTCCATCCCCCACCATGCGTCGGAAACAGCCCTCCAGTACGCGGACGGGCACGTCGATGAATGTTGCCATTGCGTCCGCCACATCAACCTTGAACCGTCGGCCAGGTCCGCAAGATCGCATCAGGCGCGTCCAGCCATGCACCCTATTTTCTTTTCTTTTGCCTTGTTTACGATTTTTTCCTTCTTTCATTTGTCTTGTTGCGTTATGATGTTATTCTGTTACGTTATGATGTTCTCACCAGATAGTGTTCAGTACGTACCTTTTGATTTGGTTTGTATTGGTCAATTCTATTCCGCCCGTTTCTTTTTGGGCGCAACTGAGTATTGACGACCTGCATCGAATTTCAAAGGGCGCTTTCCTTCATACCTTCGACGTCTTTAGTATAATTTTCGAGACGTCCCCGTGGAACACTATTGCGAAGAAATGTGTGTATTACACAAAGAGGCAGAGGTAACAAAAGGAGTTGATGCTAGAATCGAACGGGATGTACTTCAAGGTAACAGTGCGCAGGTGTCAAATTATTGTGATGCATAAACCGTCATATGCCCAATCTTCTGTGGCAACATAATTGCAATGGCTGTCACAGTCCTTCTTATAGGTACAATACGAGACATATGTTTTTATGCAATCAAAGCGCTTTGATTCAACCAAATTAATTACGTCAGGTTGTAAGTTTGCTCTTCAGCGTTATGACTTTATATTCTATAGTTGTATTTCTGTGTGCGCATATTATTAACATATAATTGTGTAGACACTTATATGCAAATATCTCATGCAAAATTTGGGTGAGTATTCGTGTGGTGGCACGTTGCTCCCCCTATGCTTCTCTTATGCCGGGCACACCTACTTCTTGAATGTTGTTCTGGATGTAGGATTGAATCATCAATGAAACGAACAACAGAAAGATGGTATACCCAATTTAAACCGCTGTGAATTGCATCCCATCCACCATCTGTATCTATGGTCACCATAAAATGGAGCACATATCACATACAGTAGACATATGTGCTATAAATATGTACCTTTTCTTTTTCACATGCGTTTCATTGCCTGCATGGTGCGATAGACCTGTTTTCTCCTGTAAAGGCACAAGTTTGAACCAAGAAGCTCATTGGGCACCTGGCTTCTGGACGCGCAATAGTCTTTGATTCTGTCCATGTCCGAGCATTCCATGGGCTCGGGGTTCGCGAGCACCGTGGGATCTGACCCTTCACCACCATCATCGCCCGCAGGCTTGCGTTGATGACGCTTTACA